TCTCTCCCATAGGAACGCCAGCCCCGCAGGCCTGCTGCTGACCGTGGTGGTAGCCCTCATCTATGTGATCGCCCTCCTGTATGAGGAGTGAGTGGGCGCATGTGGGGCTGGGAGCCAGGGTTGCTGTCTGATGTCGGGGTGACTGCCAAGGTGGCCCTGTTTCTTCGCTTAGGGCCTGTCCTGTGACCGGAGCAGCTTGGGCCAGGCTGCCTTTCACTAGGCCACAGGAGCTCACTGGTCAGAGTCACAGACGGGAGGCTGAGAGTGGGCTCAGTAGAAACTGAGTCACCTTTGGGGACTCAAAGGTCGTGATGAAGCAGCCCCAGTCTCCTGTCCCCATGGACACCCTCACTCCCTCCCTGCTCCGAACAGCAGGGCTTGGCGTGGTGGCACTTCCCTGGGCCAGCTGATTGGAGCCTCTTTCCTGCCCCCACAGGCCCTTCACTGCAGAGATCTACCGGCAAAAGGCCTCTCAGTCCCACAAGAGAAGCTGACGGGCGCTCGGCCATTTTGATGAAGGCCTGCTGCCGCCAGCCTCCCCCGAGTGCGAAGCCTGCGAGGGTAGAATGGTGCCCGGCCCTGCTCGGTGCTTGCCCAGCGAGGGCTGCTCCAGTGCCTTGGATACTGCTGCCTTGGGGTCCCTGGACATGCTGCCGTGTGGCCTCTGAGCCCCCTGCTCCCACCATTTCTGATGCACCAATAAAGGCGCCCTGACTCCAGCACCCCGTCCACATGTCTGTCAGTCCTCATGGGGCCGGCGTGGGCTGGGGCACCGGGAGATGTTCCCTGGCAGCCTCCAAGGCCATCCCCGAGGTGGTCAGCACTGTCTATGCATTGAAGCAGGAGGCTTGGTGTGTGTGGGTCTCTGGCACTGCCTACCTCTCCCTGACCCCAGAACTTCCTTCCTCTTCCTCTTCCCTAGAGGAAGCCCATCCCGCCTCAGTGTGGGGGAGTCATCATGATGCCCAGTGGCCAGAGACGTGCCACCCTGTGCACAAAGGGGCTCCCAGCCCCTGTGAGCTGCTGCCCAGGGAAAGTGGTCAGATAGCAAAAAACATAAAGCCAGAAATTTTAAAAGGGACGTGAAAGTCTCTGGTGGGGATGGGGGCCCATGTTAATTACCCATGGTGGTCAGGGAAGCTGCCATTGGAGCCCAGGCCCATGTGATGAGGGGGCGCAAAATGGAGGAAGAGCTCTCTGCGCAGGGGGAGCAACAGGTGTGAAGGCGAACACGCCGGGCGCCCCAACAGCAGACAGCGCAGCAGGCTCCTGGGCCTGAGCTCACAACAGGTGCAGACACAAGGCGCCTGACCCTGAGGTCCGGCCACGGGGTTGAGCCAGGTGGGTCCTGGAGTACTGACCCTGCTGCAGAGAGCTGGACTGTGGACCTTGTGTTGCTCCGAACCCCGGGCCACTGGTCCATCCCACATCTCAGGGTTACTAGGAAATGACCATGTGCCCCCCACTACCTGACCCTGTGCCAGCACTGTACCCGCTTTGGCCTCTGGGGGGCCTGTTTCTGGATGGAAATGTGCCTGTCCTGAAGACTGGCATGGAATAAGTCATGGGGAGTCACTGTGGCAGGAAAGAGTGAGGAGCTACCTTGCTTCTCTCAGTCTGATGAGCTACGCTCGAGCTGACTAGGAGGAAGGTGTCGCTGATCACAGACACCAGGCCTCCCCCACTCTGAGACTCGCTCTGGCCATCTGCTCTTGGGGTTCCCTTATACATTGTTCTGTCAGAAGCAGGAAAGACAGGGGCTCTTGGAATCAGAGGGCCTGGGCCCAGCACTCAAGTCCTGTCTACACCCCTAGGGCACATACTGTGTCTCCCGTTGACCAATGACATTTCTCTCATGTCCAGTTGGACCTTACGTCACCACCAATTTCTGCACGTTGGCTGGCCCCTCCTGGCCTACCCTTAGCTGAGCAGGCCCCAGCCCTTCAAGGACACAAGATTGGCCTTTTCCCTGTTCAAGTTGGGGGTGAGCCCAGACTCCACCCACGTACACAGGGCCCTTTACTGTAAAATGCTTGTCATAGGCATACCTGCCTTGTGTATACAGCAGGTGTTCAGGCAGTGCTGGCTGGGCCTCTGTCCTTACCATGGGGTTCCTCAAACTCTGGTATGTGGAATCAAGAGTCAGCCATGAGAGGCTGCTAGCCGGATCTCACCCAAAGCTTCATTCCCTTCTCTGCTTGCACACCCCCAGGCACAGGGAGCTCATCCCTCCACATGTACCTCTGAACACAGCCTTTGAGGACATCCTTTCCCTCCATGACTGCAGCTGTTCCTGTGTCAGGGCAGGGCTGCTGAGCCCCAAGCTTCCTGATACCTGGTCCACAGGGTGGGGAGATGGGGTTCAGGGTAGGGGGACAGGTGCACAGGTTTGGGAGGGCTCACATGGGAATAATGACAGATGTACTTCAAGCTTGATAAAGATGGCTTACTTGGGACAACAAGTCTTAGAACCTGGCACCTATGGGGTAGGTGACATGCCTAGAAGAAGGTACCAGGAATCATCCTAGATTGGAACCCATGCTGGGCTCCATACCCACCCTGTGGGAGTGGTGTCAGCCCCAGGCCTGTTTGACATTTGACTTGGGGTGAGGGTGGGGTGTGAATCTAGGCTGGGCCCACCAAATCTCCCCAGGGAGACCCTGCCACTGTTGGACCCTCTGATTAACACAGGGGCGGTTCTTGGACCAGAAGCCATAGAGGAAATGACTAGATCCACCTTTGCTCTGGCCTAGACACAGGGCATCAGTAGGAGCCATAAGCCACCCTATTTCAGAGCCTGGCTGCCTACAGGGGGCCTTCACAGGCCTTATCTGGGGGTGAGGAGGCCTGTGCCAAAGCCAGCCCCACTGCACCCTCAGCTGGCCCCTTC